ATATAGAGGAAGACATAAACAGATGGAAGAACATACCGTGTTCATGGATTGGTAGAATCAACATCATTAAAATGTCCATACTACCCAAAGCAATCTATAAATTCAATGCACTTCCCATTAAAATACCAATGGCATACTTCAGAGATCTAGAACGAACTCTCCAAAAATTCATCTGGAATAAAAAAAGACCCCGAATAGCTGCAGCAATCCTGAAAAAGACCAAAGTAGGTGGGATCTCAATACCAGATATCAAGATGTATTACAAAGCCACTGTTCTCAAAACTGCCTGGTACTGGCACAAGAATAGGCATATAGATCAATGGAATAGAATAGAGAGCCCAGAAATTGGCCCGAACCAATATGCTCAATTAATATTTGACAAAGGAGGCAAGAACATACAATGGAGCCAAGATAGTCTCTTCAATAAATGGTGTTGGGAAAATTGGACAGATATATGCAAGAAAATGAAACTAGACCACCAACTTACACCATACACAAAAATAAACTCAAAATGGATAAAGGACTTAAATGTACGACAGGAAACCATAAAAATTCTAGAAGAATCCAAAGGCAACAAAATCTCAGACATATGCCGAAGCAATTTCTTCACTGATACAGCTCCTAGGGAACTTGAAACGAAAGAGAAAATGAACAAATGGGACTACATCAAAATAAAAAGCTTCTGCACAGCAAAAGAAACCATCAACAAAACAACGAGAAAACCCACTGTGTGGGAAAACATATTTGCCAATGTCATATCTGATAAGGGCCTAATCTCCAAAATTTATAGGGAACTCATACAACTTAACAAAAGGAAGATAAACAATCCAGTCAAAAAATGGGCAAAGGACCTAAATAGACACCTTTCAAAAGAGGACATTCAGAAAGCCAAGAGACATATGAAAACATGCTCAAAGTCACTAATCATCCGAGAGATGCAAATCAAAACAACAATGAGGTACCATCTCACACCTGTCAGACTGGCTATCATCAACAAATCAACAAACGACAAGTGCTGGAGAGGATGTGGAGAAAAAGGAACACTTGTGCACTGCTGGTGGGAATGCAGACTGGTGCAGCCACTATGGAAGACAGTATGGAGTTTCCTTAAAAAACTGAAAATGGAACTCCCATTTGACCCTGTGATCCCACTTCTAGGAATATATCCCAAGAAACCAGAAACACCAATCAGAAAGGATATATGCACCCCTATGTTCATAGCAGCACAATTCACCATAGCTAAGATCTGGAAACAGCCTAAGTGCCCATCAGTAGATGAATGGATTAGAAAACTGTGGTACATCTACACGATGGAATACTATGCTGCTCTAAAAAGGAAGGAACTCTTACCATTTGCAACGTCATGGATGGAACTGGAGAGCATTATGCTAAGTGAAATAAGCCAGTCAATGAAGGAAAAATACCACATGATCTCACTCATTCATGGATAATAGAGACCATTATAAACTTTTGAACAATAATAGATACAGAGGCAGAGCTGCCTCAAACAGATTGTCAAACTGCAGCAGGAAGGCCGGGGAGGGTTGCGGGGCAGGAGGTAGGGGGGTAAGAGATCAACTAAAGGACTTGTATGCATGCATATAAGCATAACCAGTGGACATAAGACATTGGGGGATAGGGGAGGCTAGGGGACTGTCTAGGGCGGGGGGATAAAATGGACACATATGTAATACCCTTTGTAATACTTTAAGCAATAAAAATTAAAAAAAAAAAAAAAAAAAAAAAAAAAGATATAGACATATAGATCAATGAAACAAAATTTAGAGTCCAGAAATAAACCCTTACATTTATGAGCAATTGATTTTCAACAAGGGTGCCAAGATAATTCAATGGGAGAAAGAATAGTTTAGCAAATAGTCCTGGGACAACTGTATCTCCACATGCACAAGAATGAAGTTGAATCCCTACCTAACACCATATAAAAAAAAGTTAACTCAAAATTGATCAAAGATATAAATATTGGAGCTAAAACTCTTAGAAGAAAACATAAATATAAAAATCTGTCCACTGCTTTTTTTCTTCTTCTTCTTCTTGTATTTTGCTTATTGAATGCATTGGATTCTTTTTTTTTTTGCCACTTTATTCCTTTTTTATTTTATTATTATTTTTAATCCTCACCCGAGGATATTTTTCCATTGATCTTCAGAGAGAATGGAAGAGAGAGGGAAAGACAGAGAGAAACATGAGAGAAACATCGATTGATTCCCTCCTGCACGGGCCCTGACCAGGACCCGGGCCAGTGGAGGAAACTGTAACCAACCTATGTGCCCTTGACTGGAATCAAACCCGGGACCCTTCTGTCCATAGGCCAATGTTCTATCAACTGAGCCAAACTGACAAGGGCTGATATTGGCTCTTCATGTCTACTGCTTTCTGACTGCAGTTATGCTCAATGACATTCCTCACTCCGAAAGTATGATCTGTTTTGACATCTGAGATCCTACAGTTTCTGGGGCCAAAAACTGTCTTTGCCATAACAAAAAAATAACTCAAGTCTCAAATCAAGACCAAAGAGAGCCACACGGTGTGGCTCAATGATTGAGCATCAACCTATGAACCAGGAGGTCATAGTTCCGATTCCCAGTCAGGGGACATGCCTGAGTTTCAAGCTCGATCCCCAGTGTGGGAATACAGGAGGCAGCCAATCAATGATTCTCTCTCATCATTGTTATTTCTACCTCTTTCTCTCCTTTCCTCTCTGAAATCAATGAAAATACAAGAAAAGAAAAGAAAAAGACCAGGAAAAACTAAGATGGCGGCATCGGTTAACGCCGGAGATTGCTGCCTTGAACAACCAAATCAAAATACACCTAAAAGACGGAACGGACATCATCCAGAACCACAGGAAGGCTGGCTGAGTGGAAATTCTACAACTAGGAGGAAAGAGAATATCATACCCAGACTCAGAGGAGGCGCAGTGCTGAAGTGAAATACTCAGGTATGGAGTGCGCGCAGAGAGGGCTGGCGGCGGAGGGCGCGGTTGGTGTTTTCAATCGGGAGGGAGTCTCAGATTCTGAGCTCCAGATCCGGGCGAGTCTCTAGGGACCCAGACTCAAACGGGAGAAGCGGGACTGTCTGGCTTCAGTCGGAACTCGAAGGCAGCTTTCTCTCCGAGGTTTGCAGCGGTTGCTGGGACTCAAAGAGGCAGAGCCCCTGGGGACGGAACTGAGAGCCGCCATAACTGCGCACTCCGGCCCACCCTGTTGATCCCGAGCGACCCACCCGCCCCGCCCAAGCCCTGCACAGAGCCATTTACCAGATAGCCTCAGGCAAAGGCTAGATTAGCACCTCCCTAGAGGACAGACGTTTTCCCACTGCAGACACAGCTGATTCTCACAGCCAGTTGGCCTGGAGGTCAAATCCCCCTAGTATTAACTACAACAATCAAGGCTTAACTACAGGAAGACTGCACACAAAGACCACTAGGGGGTGCACCAAGAAAGCATAAAAAATGCGGAGACAAAGAAACAGGAAAAAACTGTCAATGGAGGATATTCAGTTCAGAACCACACTTTTAAGGTCTCTCAAGAACCATCTAGAAGCCGCCGATAAACTTAATGAGATCCTCAACAAATCTAATGAGACCCTCGATGTTATGATAAAGAACCAACTAGAAATTAAACATACACGGACTGAAATAACGAATATTATACAGACTCCCAACAGCAGACCAGAGGAGCGCAAGAATCAAGGCAAAGATTTGAAATGCGAAGAAGCAAAAAACACCCAACCGGAAACACAAAATGAAAAAAGAATCCAAAAATACGAAGATAGTGTAAGGAGCCTCTGGGACAGTTTCAAGCGTACCAACATCAGAATTATAGGGGTGCCAGAAGATGAGAGAGGGCAAGATATTGAAAACCTATTTGAAGAAATCATGACAGAAAACTTCCCCTACCTGGTGAAAGAAATAGACTTACAAGTCCAGGAAGCACGGAGAACCCCAAACAAAAGGAATCCAAAGAGGACCACACCAAGACACATCATAATTAAAATGCCAAGAGCAAAAGACAAAGAGAGACTCTTAAGAGCAGCAAGAGAAAGAAACTCAGTTACCTACAAGGGAGCACCCATACGACTGTCAGCTGATTTCTCAACAGAAACTTTGCAGGCCAGAAGGGAATGGCAAGAAATATTCAAAGTGATGAATACCAAGAACCTACAACCAAGATTACTTTATCCAGCAAAGCTATCATTCAGAACTGAAGGTCAGATAAAGTGCTTCACAGATAAGGAAAAGCTAAAGGAGTTCATCACCACCAAACCAGTATTATATGAAATGCTGAAAGGTATCCTTTAAGAAGAGGAAGAAGAAGAAAAAGGTAAAGACACAAATTATGAACAACAAACATGCATCTATCAACAAGTGAAGCTAAGAATCAAGTGAATAAATAATCTGGTGATCATAATAGAATCAGGGACATAGAAAGGGAATGGACTGACTATTCTTGGGGGGGAAAGGGGTGTGGGAGATGCGGGAAGAGACTGGACAAAAATCGTGCACCTATGGATGAGGACAGTGGGTGGGGAGTGAGGGTGGATGGTGGGGAGGGAACAGGGAGGAGGGGAGTTACGGGGGGAAAAAAGAGGAACAAATGTAATAATCTGAACAATAAAGATTTAATTTAAAAAAGAAAAAAGAAAAAGACAAAAGAGAAACCACAGGGATTGATCTTCCCTAGAATACAAAACAGAACCAATTTAATAAAAGTAATGATCAGTCCTTAAGGAAGTAGTTCTGCGTGCATTCCAGAATCCCTGAAATATCATGAGTGACTCAAGTAAACATAGAGGATAAGATGCAAAGCAGGAACAATCCACAATTTTAAGTTAACTTAAAGGTTAGAGAAATAGTTTATTTAAACATTAACAATGATTTAAAAAATCAATAGTCTTACAATGGTTTTAAGACCTGAAACATTAATTCAAATGTCTAATTAAGCAAAAGTTTCCCATTTCTATATTTTAAAGAACTCTACCTGATTTTATGAAGTTGTTTTGAAGTGAAGGATCTCCAGAAGAAACATACTGATGACTTGTCAAATTTGTATTCCCAGACATAGTTGGTCCAGTTGATACACGAGGATAATGGTTTGTCTGTGATCCTGTGGATGGATAGTTATATTGCCAATTCAGAGGTGGCGGTACATTGGCTCCAGGATGAAAGCTACCAGAAGACATTGGTGTAGCAGCTGGGTTCTGAGAAGCATGTTGTGGCATTCGGGGAACAGGACCACTATGGAGTGAAGGTGTCACTGCATTAGAAGCCACAGGTGGTCTATGAAGAGTCTGCCCAGGTCCCTGATAATTATTTAATGGAGAAACAGTCTGAGAACCACCATAGTTCGACTGTCCAGAGACTGGATTCAAAGTCTTTGCTGGTAATAGATGAGAGTAGGATCCTGGAAGCTGAGAATTATATCCTTGTGCAGACAGCAGTGCATTTTGGATAGGACCTGCCAATAAGAGGAGGAAAAAAATCAGTCTTGCAAACAAATAAAGCAATACTTTAAAAAATAGAATAAAATATATGGTATTCTTACAACTCAACGATAAAAAGACAAATAACCTAATTTAAAAATAAACAAAGGAGTTAAATAAACATTCAAATACATTTCCAAAGAGATATGTAAATAAATGGCCAGTAAACACATACAAAAACAGTCAACATTAGTCACTAGAGAAATGCAAATCAAAATCACAATGAGATACCACTCACACCAAATAGGATTGTTAAAAAAGAAAATAGCAAGTGCTGACTAGGATGTGCAGAAAATGGAACCCTCATTCAATGCTAGTGAAAATGTAAAATGGTGCACCTACATTGGAAAACAGTTTGGTAGTTCTTCAAAATGTTAAACACAGTTATCATACAATCCAGCAATTCCACTTCTCGTCTGCATAAAAATTTATACACACGAATATCATAACATCATTATTACTAATAGTCAAAAAGTGGAAACAACCCAAATGTCCATAAACTGATAAGTAGGGGTACAAAAGGGAACCAATGGAATATTATCTATAATAATAAAAGCATAATATGCAAATCGAGCAAACAGCAGAACAACCGTCCAGACAACTTTCTGGATGACCATGCTATGACACGCACTAGCGCCAGGTCAGCCAAGGCAGGTGTGATGCAATTGGTCGGGGGGTGGGGGGGTGGCACTATCACCCTACGATGAATTGCCTCACAGAGGGAGGCCCAGGCCACCGGCCAGCGACACTGTGGCAGGTGTGCGGGGCCAGCCAGTGATGGCCCTGCAGAGGCAGGCCCAGGCCAGCCAAGTGATCGCACCCATGCTTGTCGACCAGCAGAGGAAGGTGACTGATGGCGGGGGAGGGAAGGGGGCAGTGCCCCACAGATGGGAAGCAGTAGCAGCGGTGGGGGTGGGGCCAGCTGCTGGCAGCCAGGGGAAAGAAAGCCCCAATAGGCCCTGATCGCCTGCCAGGCCTAGGGACCCTACACAAGGGGTCCTGGATTGTGAGAGGGCACAGGCCAGGCTGAGGGATACACCCACCCGTGCTCAAATTTCGTGCACCAGGCCTCTAGTTTGGTCATAACAGGAATGAAGTATTGACAACACACTACAACATAAATAAATCTTGAAAACATCATGCTAAGTGAAAGATACTAGTCACAAAGGGCCATACATTATATGATCCATTTATATAAAATGTCCAGAGTAGGAAAATCCACAAACACAGATGTAGATTTATGGTTGCAGTGGCTAGGAGGAGGGGATGGGGAGTGACTACTAATGGGTATAGAGTTTCTTTTTGGGGTGATAAAAATATTCTAAAAATTGTAGTGCCCAGCTGGTGTGGTTCAGTGGTTGAGCGTCAACCTGTGAATCAGGAGGTCACGGTTTGATTCTTAGTCAGGGCACATGCCCGGGTTGCAGGCTCGATCCCCAGTGAGGGGTGTGCAGGAGGCAGCTGATCAATGATTCTCTCTCATTAATGATGTTTCTCTCTCTCTCTCCCTCTCCCTTCCTCCCTGAAATCAATAAATTTTTTTTTTTTTAAAAACCTGACTGTAGTTATGGTTGCAAAACTCTGCCAATATACTAAAAAACATTGAATTGTACATTTTAAAACTGTACAATTTTTACAGTTAATCAGACTCAACCGGTGTGGCTCAGTGATTGAGCATCAACCCAGGAACCAAGAGGCTCCGGTTCAATTCCTGGTCAGGGCACATGTCCCAGTTGCAGGCTCAATCCCCAGTAGGGTGCGAGCAGGAGGCAGCCTATCATGATATTTCTCTCTCCATGTTTCTATCTCTCTATCCCTCTCCCTCCCTCTCTAAATTAAATAAATAAATAAATAAATAAATTTAAAAAATAACCCTTAAAATCAGCATTTCTATTGAAGACTATACTATTATTTCTGCCCATAAAATTAGGCAATAATAAAAAGAAAAATCAATGAACTTTTATGCATATATGCATAACCTGTGGAAACAGACAATGGGTGGTGAGGGCCTGGGGGATGGGGGACAGGGATGGGAGCTGGCTGGAAAAAGTTAATGGGGGAAAAAAGGAGGATCTATGTAATACTTTCAACAATAAAGATTTTTTTAAAAACAATTAAATAAATAATTTTTAAAAAATTCTTTATTGTTGAAAGTATTACATATGTCCCCTTTCCCACCGTTGTTCTCTCCCAGCGTGCCCTGCTTCCCAGCCCTGGCCTTTACCTCCACCCCCATTGTCTGTGTCCATTGGTTATGCTTATAAGCATACAAGTTCTTTGGTGTAGTAGAGCTCAGGAAGTATGTCTCAGCGCTGTTGGCTGTTGCAATGGTGTGAGCACACTCCACCATGACATGCTTCCTCGGCACACCAGGAAGTAGCAATGCCCGCCTGAACTAACTCCTAGAGCCACATGCATAGTACCCCAGCCTTTCAGCCATTGGTCACCTATAGCAATGTGTCTCCCTCTGATTGGTCGCCTATAGCAACGTGTCTCCCTCTGATTGGTCGCCTATAGCAACGTGTCTCCCTCTGATTGGTCCCCTCATGCTATATATACCCCTGTAGTTCCTCAATAAAACGGATCTGCGTCAATGAACCTGGTCCCGGAGTCGTGCATGCAGACGCTCTAGCGCGTTGGGGCTCCGTCGTCCTCACCCCGGAGGGACCCCCTGCTTCACTTTGGTTCTGTTCTGGATCTATTTTTTTTTCCATCAGTTTATGTTGTTCATTATATTCCACAAATGAATGAGATCATGTGATACTTATCCTTCTCTGACTGGCTTATTTCGCTTAGCATAATGCTCCCCAGGTCCATCCATGCTGTTGTAAACGGTAAGAGTTCTTTCTTTTTTACAGCACATAGTATTCCTCTGTATAGATGTGACACAGTTTTTTAATCCACTCATCTGCTGATGGACGCTTAGGCTGTTTCCAAATCTTAGCTATTATAAATTGTGCTGCTATGAACATAGGGGTGCATATGTTCTTCCTGGTTGGTGTTTCTGATTTATTGGGATATATTCCTAGGAGTGGGCTTACTGAGTCAAATGGGAGCTCCATTTTTAAGTTTTTTGAGGAAACTCCTCTGTTTCCCACAGAGGCTGTGCCAATTTGCATGAGGGCTCCCTTTCCTCCACATCCTTGCCAGCACTTGTCATTTGTAGATTTGTTAATTTTTCACAGACCTATAACAAACTCTCCAAAAATTTATATGGAACAAAAAAAGACCCCGAATAGTCACAGCAATCCTGAGAAAAAAGAATAAAGTTGGAGGGATCACAATACTAGACATCAAGTTGTATTACAAAGCCACTGTTCTCAAAACAGCCTGGTACTGGTGCAGGAACATACAAATAGACCAATGAAACAGAACAGAGAACCCAGAAATCAACCCAAGCCATTATGCTCAACTAATATTTGACAAAGAAGGCAAGAGCACACAATGGAGTCAAGACAGTCTCTTCAACAAATGGTGCTGGAAAAATTGGATACATGCAAAAAAAATGAAACTTGATCACCAACTTACACCATACACAAAAATAAGCTCAAAATGGATAAAGACTTAAACATAAGACGGGAAACCATAAAAACAAGAAAGCCCACTGCATGGGAGAACATATTTGTCAATGTGACATATGATAAGGGTTTAATCTCCAAAATTTATAGGGAACTCATACAACTTAACAAAAGGAAGATAAACAATCCAATCAAAAAATGGGCAAAGGACTTAAACACTTCTCAAAAGCAGACATACAGAAGGCCAAGAGGCATATCCTACATAATAAAAGGGTAATATGCAAATTGACCCTAACAGTGGAACAACCACTGGAACAGTCACTGTGAGGTGCACTGACCACCTCTCAGTCCCTTTCCTTGGCTGGCAGGCTCCGACTGCATGATGGCCACCTGCAGCAGGGGCGGGGCCGGCAACTGGGCAGGAACAGTCACCCTCTAGGTCCCTTCCCCCGGCCATCAGGCACCAATCACCCGATGGGGAATGGGTAACTAGGGATGGGTAGTGGTGGGGGGGGTGGGGCTGGCTGTAGACAGCTGGGGAAGATGGCCTTGATCACGGGCCAGGCCTAGGGACCATACCCATGCATGAATTTTATGCACCAGGCCAATAAATAAATATTTTTTTAAATAAAATAAAATTAGGAAATAAGTTTCATATTTTTTAAAATATGGTACTCACATAAACTTAAAAAAAAAGTCTTTGAACTATTTATGCTTAAAAGATATATTGCCGAAACCGGTTTGGCTCAGTGGATAGAGCGTCGGCCTGCGGACTGAAAGGTCCCAGGTTTGATTCCGGTTAAGGGCATGTACCTGGGTTGCGAGCACATCCCCAGCGGGAGATGTGCAGGAGGCAGCTGATCGATGTTTCTCTCCCATCGATGTTTCTAGCTATCTCTCTCCCTTCCTCTCTGTAAAATATCAATAAAATATATTTAAAAAAAAAAAATATAAAAATAAAATATTTGCCGAAACCGGTTTGGCTCAGTGGATAGAGCATCGGCCTGCGGACTGAAAGGTCCCAGGTTCGATTCCGGTCAAGGGCATGTACCTGGGTTGCAGGCACATCCCCAGTGGGAGATGTGCAGGAGGCAGCTGATCGATGTTTCTAACTTTCTATCTCTCTCCCTTCCTTTCTGTGAAAAATCAATAAAAAATATTTAAAAAAATAAAAAATAAAAAAAAATAAAAAAAAATAAAATATTTATCTTCTATTCATACCTCCTTAGTCCATGCAACCAATGTACAAATGTCATCAGATTAATTTGAATCATTTCATAATTATGCAATGCTTATACAAACATACATAATTCTGTGTATATATAGAGAGAGGTAAATTGGGAGGCCTACAGAAACATATAGATGAGTTGGAAGGAGGAAGTTAGCCTATATACATTGCTCTCCAAAATAAAAAAACATAGTTATCCTTCAAGGACAAAAGAAATAGATCCAAACGT